GGGGGGGGCCATGGGGATGTCCCCCCCGGGTGCCCCCCTGTGTCCCCAAGGCCCTGCCTGGGCTGATCCCTGCGCTCTGGTCACACAGCTCTCGTCCTCCTCGGCACGGCCCCGATCCTGTGAGGTCCCGGGCATCCAGTGAGTGCTGGGGAGCTGGAACGGGGAGGGGGCACTGGGGAAGGGCTGGAGTGGGGAGAGGGCACTGGGGAGGGGCTGGAGTGGGGAGGGGGGCACTGGGGAGGGGCTGGAACGGTGAGGGGGACACTGGGGAGGGGCTGGAGTGGGGAGAGGGATGCTGGGGAGGGGGTGACAGGGTGTCATCACTGTTTCCCCCCCCCCGTCTCTCTCTCCACCTCGTGTCCCCCCAGTGTGTTCCCGTCCCCGGACCAACCTGCCAACGTGCCCCTCATGCCCTCGGCCCTCAACACGGGGGGGGTCCCTGCCTGACCTGACCACGCTGCACTTCCCGTCCCCCCTGCCCACCCCCCTGGACCCTGAGGAGGCCCCGTTCCCCCCCCCTGAGTGGGGGCAGCAGCACCTCCAACCTGGCCACCACCATGACCCACCTGGGCATCAGCAGCACTGGCGCAGGGGGGCTGGGCTACGACCCCCCAGGTGAGTGGGGGGGCACATGGGAGCTCAGAGACCCCCCAGGTGAGTGGGGGGGCACAGGGGGAGCTGGGCTACGACTCCCCAGGTGAGTGTGTCCATCGCTGTGTCCATCTCCATGGTTTTGGTGGCTCCATCCCCCTCCCTCCACCTGGGGAGCCCCCCAGGCCCTTCCCTCCCACCGGGGAGCCCCTCAGGCCCCTCCCCAGGCACGGGGCCATGCTGGGGGGTAACGTGCTCTCTGTTTTTGTGCCCACAGGACTCCCCTCACCTCTCCAGAGCTCCCTGAGTAACCCGTCCCTGCAGTCCTCCCTGAGCAACCCCAACCTGCAGGCCTCCCTGCAGGCCTCCCTGCGTGGCCCCTCCCTCCAGGCCTCCCTCAGCAACCCCTCTCTCCAGTCCTCCCACAGCAGCTCCTCCATCCCCTCCTCGCTGTCCAACCAGTCCCTGCCCTCGTCCCTGTCCTCCTCACTGTCCAACCCATCCCTGCCCACATCCCCCCCGGAGCCAGCCCCTCCAATCCTCACCCAGCAACCCCAGCCTGCCCTCGGGGCTGGGGGGCTCCTTTGGGACCACGTCTCCCCGGCGCCGGGTCCCGCTCAGCCCCCTGTCCCTGCCCGTGGCTGGTGACTCCAGACGGCAGCACCCCAAACAGTTCTCACCAACAATGTCACCCACATTGTCCTCCATCACCCAGGTATGCATGGCTCCATCGCTGCGCCTTCTCCTCATCCTCTTCGTCCTCCTCCTCGTCACCCCCCTCTTCCTCCTCCTCCTCGGTCTCCTTCTCATCCCTCTACTCCTCTCTCTCTTCCTCATTCCCTTCATTCTCCTCTTCTTTGTGCCCCACCTCATCTTCCTCATCCCTGTCCTCCTCCTTCCTTGTTTTTCTCTTCTTAGTCCTCCTTGTCTTCCTCCTCTTCCTCCTCCTCTTCTTCCTCAGCCCACTCTTCCTCAGTCCCCTTGTCCTCCTCTTCCTTGTTCCCTTCCTCATTGCCCTCATCGTACTCTTCCTCATCCCCCACCTCATCCTCCTGTTTTCCATCCTCTTCCCTGTCCTCCTCCTCCCTTATCTTTCTCCTTCTCATCCTCCTTGTCTTCTTCCTCCTCATCCTCTTCCTCCTCCTCCTTGTTACCCTTTTCTGTGTCCTCCTTTTCCCCGATCCTCCTCCCATCGTCCTTGTCCTGCTCTTCTTCCTCCTCCTTATCTTCCTCTCATCCTTCTTGTCCTCTTCCTCGTCCCCCTCTTCTTGTCTTCCTTCTCTTCCTCCTCCCCCTCACTCCTCTCACCTTGTTTCCATCCTCATCTCACTCACCCCCAGGGACCCTCTTGCCCCCATTCCCCCCCCTCAGACCCCCCCAGCCCTGCCCACATTGAGGGGACACTCCATGTCCCTCCCAGCCACCCCCCTGCCACGGGGACCCCCCCGGGCCCCCCCCCAAAGCCAGGGGTGAGCTCGGGAGTCTCAGTGCTGGCAGCCCCGGGGGGGATCAGTGGAGCCCCCCAAAGTGGGAGTATCCCGCTGAAACCCCCCCTTTCTCTCTGCAGGGGGTGCCCCTGGACACCACGAAGCTGCCGGAGCAGCGGCTCCCACCGTACCCCTACGGCCAGCCCGGGGTGCTGCTGGGGTCCCAGCCCCCCCCGCGGCCCCCTGCACCCCCCCCGCGCCCCTACGGTCCCCCCTACCCCCCCCCCAGGCCCCTCCCTGGGGCAGCCCCTGGCACAGCCCCCCGGAGACTTCGGCCTGGGCGGTGTGAGTGGGGGGGGGCACGGAGTGGGGTAAAGGGGGGAACCCCTAATACAGCTCTGACCCACAGGGGGGGGCATGGAGAGAACATCGGGACACTCTAGGGGGTCACCGAGGGGAATATGGGAATGGGGACCCTTGGGGGGTCACTGGGGGGGACATGGCGATGGGGACCCTCAGAGTCATTGAGGGGAACGTGGGGATGGGGGACCCCTCCAGGGGGTCACTGGGGGGGACATGGGGATAGGGAACACTCTGGAGGGTCACTGGGGGGGACATGGGGACAGGGGACACTCTGGGGGTACTTACTGGGGGGGACATGGGGACAGGGGACACTCCAAGGAGGCCACCCCTAACCCTCCTCTCTCCGCAGCTGGAGCAGTTCGGGATGGGGGAGAGCCCACCCAGGAACAGCGGAGGGTTCCCCGACGACCTGGGGGCCCTGAGTTACCCCCTGAGCGAGGGGGGCTACGACCCCCCTACCCTGAACCGCCCGAACCTGAGCAACTGCAGCCGGCACGGGCCCATCCCCAACATCATTTTCACAGGTGAGGGGGCTGGGGGGCATCATGGGGGGCTGGATGGGATGGGGGCTCTGAGTGTTTTCATGGAGGGGTGGGATGGGGGGGGCAGTGGGGTATCAGAGGTGGATGGGTGGATTAGGGGTCTGTGAGGTGTCACAGGGGGTCCATGGGGTGTCACGGGGCGTGTGTGTGCCCTGGAGTCTCTGGGGGTGTCCTGGGAGGGGGTATGTGCCCTGGGCTCTCTGGGGGTATCACGGAGTCTCTGTGGGCCCCCCCCATCCCTCCTGGGGCCACACTGACACCCCTGTCGTCCCCCCCACCCTACCCCGCAGGCGACTCCCCCCCGGGGCTGTCGAAGGAGATCGCGACGGCGCTGGCGGGGGTTCCGGGCTTCGAGGTGGAGGGGGGGGGCGCTGGGGGGACTGGGGGGGCTGGAGGAGGAGCTGCGCATCGAGCCCCTCACCCTGGATGGGCTGAGCATGCTGAGCGACCCCTGCGCGCTGCTCACCGACCCCGCCGTCGAGGACTCCTTCCGCTCCGACCGCCTGCAGTGAGCCCGGCAGGCCCCCCCCGCCGCAGGGACCCCCCTGCGACCCCCGGCGCCGCCCCCGGGGCCACCCCCCCGGCCCCGCCGCCCTCTGCGCTCCCGCTGAGACTGGAAAAGGGAGCGTGGGGGGCGCCAGGTGCCCCCAAAACATGGCCATCGAGGGGTCTGCAGCGAGCACGGGGAGGGCTCCAGCAATGAGATCCCCCCTCAATTCCCATACCCTGGGAAAAACCCAGGAAAACAGGGAAAAGGGAGTGATCCAGGTGCCCCCAAAGCGTGGCCATGGAGGGGTCCAACCACCCCCAGAGAGCACGGGGGGCTGCAGCACCACGACCACCCCTCAATTCCCACCCCCGGTCCCGGCGGGTGCTGCTCTCTGGGAACACCCGGGAAAGGGGGAGAGGGGTGCAATCCAGGTGCTCTCCAGCCCTATGGCCCCCCCCCAGATCAAGCCCAGGGGGGTCCAGCACTGCAACCGCCCACCCCAGTTCCCACCTCCAGGTCCCGTCGATCCCTGTTCCCATGGGAAAGCCCCAGGGCCACCTTGGAACTGGGAAAACTGGAGAGGGGGAGACAACGGGAAGCAATCCAGGCACCCCTGGCCCCCCCAAAATCAACCCCAGGGGAGTCCCAGCCCTGCGCTCCCCCCTCCAGTTCCCACCCCCTGCCCCCACTGGTCACTGTTCTCCTGGGAAAACCCTGGGAATGTTGGGGAGCGGGAGCAATCCAGGGGACCCCGAACCCCCAGACCTCAGTGGGGGGGGGGGGCCGGCCCCCCCGGGGGTGGCTGTACATAAACCCCATAGGTAGAGACCCCTGGTGGGGGGGCAGGGGGGAGCAGTTTCTGCCTTTATTTTATCATTTTTCTGGCTAATCATCATCTTTAAGGCAAAATTCCGCTCCCCCCCCCAATATGTACCCCCAGTCCCCCCCCCAAATTACCCAACTGCTGGGGATGTGTAGAAAGCACTTGTAACTTTGTCCCCCCACCCCCCCCCAAATTGCCCCTCCCCGGGGTAGCACGGGGGGAGGACCCGTCCACGGGTGGGGGGCCCTGGGCCCCCCCCCCGAGGGAGCCAGAGTGATTTATAATTATTATTTTTTAAAATATATATTCTATGTTAATTAACCGCCCCCACCCATGCGTGCCTGATTGGGGGGGGGGGGGGGAGAGGGGGGGGGTCAGCTGCTCCGGACCCTCCCGCTTTGGGAGGCCTTTGGGATTGGGATTTCTTACTGGGGGGGGAAGGGGATCTTTTATTGAGGAAGGGAGGGAGAAATGGGATCCCTTATTGGGAGGGCAGTAGGGTCTTACTGGGAGACTGATAAGGGGGTCCCTTATTGGGGAGGAGGTGAAACGGGGTCTCTTATTTGGGGGCGACAATGGGGTCCTCACAATTCCTGGGGAGGCTTAGAGGGGCCTGTGAATTCCTGGGGGTGCTCGAAGGAGTCCTGGCAGTTTCTGTGGGATCTGGGGGGGAGTCCCAGGTAGCGGGGGGTGGGGGGGGTCGATGTACCCCGGCGTATGCGGCGGGTCCTCCGGGCCGCCAGGGGTCGCTGCGGAGCCGCGCTCTGTGGCGGTCGCGACCCAGCGGAACCAGGGACGGCCCGGCCCGGCCCGGCCCGGCCCGGCCGCAGGTACTGGGCGGGAACCGGGAGTCTTGGAGGGTCCGCGGGGCTCGAGGGGACCGCAGAGAACGGAGGGCACACAGGGGAGCCGGGCCGGGGGGCACCAGGGGGCGGCGGGCGCTGCAGGGCCCGGAGCAGGGCCTGTGGGGCCCGGGGGGGGATGCGGGGGTGGGGGGGACACAGGGGGCACACGGGCACAGAGAACCCTTCTGGGGGGTTCACTGGTGGGGACATGGGGATGGGGAACCCTGCCAGGCCGTGCACGGGATGTAACCCCCTCAGCCAAGCGGGTGTCACCGTCACCACGGGGGTGTGACCCGCCCCCAGCCAAGGGGTGTCACCGTCCTCAGGGGGTTGTGACATCGCCCCCCCCTCCCCCCGGTTAAGGGGGTGTCACTGTCCCCGGGGCGTTGCGACCCCCCGGCCAAGGGGTCTATGACCCCCACTCAGCCGAGGAGATGTCCCCGTTCCCAGGGGTTGTAACCCCCCCGGTTAATGGAGCTGTGCCTTCCCCTCCCGGGGGGGCTCCCCTGGGGTCACGGTGCCCCCCCCCGTCCCTGCCTGGGGTCTCGATGTTGGGGTTGGGGTTGTTTTGCCCCCTCCGGGTGTTTGGGGTACTGGGGGGCTCTCCATGGAGGGGTCGGGGCTGTTTTGCCCCCCAGGTGTTTTGGGGGGCTCTTCATGGAGAGGTCAGGGTTGTTTTGGCCCCCCAGGTGTTTTGGGAGGCTCTCCATGGAGGGGTCGGGGTTGTTTTGGCCCCTTGGGTGTTTGTGGGGGCCTGGAGGGTGATGTGGGCGTTCACGGCCCCAGGGCCCGTTTCCTTCCCCTTTCCTACCTTCCTCCCCCCCCCCGGAGGCTCCAAGGACCCCCCGTCCTGGCAAGCTGGGGGGGCTGGGAACGGTGGGGGGGGGGGAGGGGGGATGAGGAGGCTTTGGGGACCTGGGGGGGGGCACGGGGGACAGATGCAGGAGAGGGACCCCAAACCAAGGGTGAGCCCGCAACCCGGGGGTGCCACGGCAGGAGGTGGGGGTCCCACCTCTCAACACCACCCAGGGGAGCCTTCCAGTGCCAGGGGGGGCCCTACTGGTCCCGGGGGGGGTCCTGATGCCCCACGGCGTGACCGGAAACCTCCTCCCTTCCCGTACTGGCGGCTCCACGGGGCACCGCGGGGGGAGGAGCTGGGAAAGGGGGGTCCAGTGGCTCCGGTGGCATTCCCAGGGTGTTTACCCCCCCCCAGATGGTGTGACATGGCGGACGAGAAGCCCCCCCAGCTGGTGGATTACTTCGTAGTGGCCGGGCTGGCCGAGGCGTCGCGGGCGCTGGAGGAGGAGCCGGCACGGCCGGCGCGGCCTGCGGAGCCCATCACGGACGTGGCCGTGATTATCCGCTCCCAGGGCGAGGAGGTGCCCCAGGGCTTCACCTGCATCGAGACCACCACGTCAGGCCACCCCGTGGACCTCAACGCGGGGCTGCTCAACAACCCCCAGATGTTCCTGTGCTACAAGCGCGGCAGGGACAAGCCCCCCCTCATCGAGCTGGGGTGAGTTTGGGGACGTCCCAAGTGCTGCACCGGGGGCACGACGGGGTGGGAGAGAGGTTGGAAAGCTGGGAAAGAGGCTGGAGGTGCTGGTGAGAGCGGCCGGACGTGACCCAGGTATGCCCAAGTAGGCAAGGTTGTCAGTGACACGTGGGTTGGATCGGCCACAGGAGCAGGACAGAGATTGTCCCTCTATCCTGGGTCACACCTCGAGCGCTGTGTCCAGGTCTGGGCCCCTCAATTTGCTTTGAGGGGCTGGAGCACCAGAAGGGTCTGGAGAACTCCTGAGGGAGCTGGGGGAGCTCATCCTGGAGAAAAGAAGGCTCGGGGGGACCTTCTGGCTCTCTGCAACTCCCTGACAGGAGGGGGGATTCCCAAGGATCTTCTCCCAGGGAACAAGGGACAGGAGGAGGGGAAATGGCCTCAAGCTGTGCCAGAGGAGGGTCAGGTTGGCCATGAGGAGGAATTTCTTGCTGGATAGGGTGGTGAGGCCTTGGAAGGGGCTGCCCAGGGAGGTGGGGGAGTCCCCAGCCCTGGAGGTGCCCAAGGAAGGACTGGCTGTGGTACTGAGTGCTCTGGGCTGGGGCCAAGGTGGGGATGGGGCACAGGCTGGACTTGATGATCGTGGAGGTCTTTTCCAGCCTTGGTGATTCTGGGATTGTCTGACTGTGGGATTCCGGGATCCTGAGGAGGGGTCACAGCAGCCCCCCAGGGTCCCCCTCACCCCTGTCCCCCACAGGGTGCACTACGAGGGCAAGGACCGGCCCAAGCCGGGCTACCAGATCCTGGACACGACCCCCTACAGCCGCTCTGCCAACCTGGCCTCGGGCTCCCCAGGTCACCAGCGCACGTTCCTGACGTTCCGGCGCGCGGCCGAGCCCCCCGGGCACCACAGCCTGGGCGTCACCGACATCTGCCTCGTCATGCCCAGCAAAGGGGAGACCACCCCCCACACCTTCTGCCGCGTCGACAGGAACCTTAACACCAGCATGGTGTGTCTGGGGGGGTGCCTGGCAATCCCCCTGATCATACACTGACTCCCCTGATCCCGATCCCAATCCTGGTCCCTCCTTGCAGTGGGGCCCCGCCCTGTTCCTGTGCTACAAGATCGCCGTGGCCAAGGGCAACACGCTGGTCTACGAGGCAGGTGGGGAGCTCAGGCCGGGGGGCCTGGACCCCCCTCAAAGGGACTTTGGAGTCATTTATTATTATTATTTTTCTTAAAAGTATATTTTATGGTAATTAACTCCCTCCCTCCCCCCCCAGCTGGCACATGATGGATTTCGGGGGGGTGGAGGCCCCGGGCCTTCTCAGGGGTTTTGGGAAGTAAAAGAAGGTAGTTCAAGTGCTGAAGACCCCCCCAACTCTTCCTGTCAGGCCCTTGAGGCTGGGTCTCTTAGTGGGGAGGAGGGGGGTAGTGGGGTCCCTTATTGGGGATGGGGGGGTAAGGGGGTACCTTACTGGAGTCTCTAATTGGGGGGAGTGACAATGGGGTCCCTTATTGGGGGGAAATAGAGTGCCTTGTTGGGGGGGCAGCAGAGTCCCTTCCTGAGAGGGGAGTGGGTCCCTTACTGGGGGGGCAATGTGGTCCTTTACTGGGGTTTCAATGAGGTCCCTTACTGGGACAGGGAGGCAATTGGGTCTCTTACTGTGGGGAGGTTTTAGGGGGTGGGTTTGGGGGTCTCTGGGCACCCCCTCCTTGTTGGGGTGTGGGAGATGACCTGGGGGGCTCATCCTGGTGTCTATGTGTCCCCATGTCCCTGTGTCCCCCAGGGCTCCTGGGCTGGTACCCTGAGCAGGGGATTGACCCAGGGGTCTCATCTCTGTGTCCCCGTGTCCCTCAGGGCTCCTGGGCCAGTACCCTGAGCGGAAGGGGAGGTGACCCAGGGGTCTCATCCTGCTGTCCGTGTCCCCCAGGGCTGTTGGGCCGGTACCCCGAGCAGGACAGTGAGCAGTTCCCGCTGCCTGAGTCGGTGCCTGTGTTCTGCCTGCCCATGGGGGCCACCATCGAGAGCTGGCCCACGGGCACCAAGTACCCCCTGCCCGTCTTCTCCACCTTCGTCCTCACCGGCGCCTCGGGGGACAAGGCACGAGGGGCTCAGGGGGTGGGAGATTTGGGAGGTGGGCAGAGATGAGGGCTGGGGGTACCCAGAGCTCTGGGATGGGCGTCCCCAGGGCTGTGAGTTCCCAGTGCCATGGGATGGGGGTCCCCAGTGCCACAGGTCCCCAGTGCCCGGTGTCCCCAGTGCCATGGGATGGGGGTCCCCAGCTCTGCCTGGCCCCAGTGCTATGGGATGGGGTCTCCAGTGCCACAGGTCCCCATGGCCCAGTGTCCCCAGTGCCCTGGGCTGTCCCCATCTCTGCGTGCCGGGTGTCCTCGTGCCCCGCTCCCCACCAACACCCTCTCCCCGTGCCCCCCTCCTGCAGGTGTACGGCGCTGCCATCCAGTTCCACGAGGCGTTCCCGCGGGAGCGGCTGTCGGAGGGGCAGGCGCTGCGCCTGGGGCTGCTCAGCGTGGTGGACAAGCGGCCAGTGCCAGGCCGGTCCCTGCACACCCGCAAGAGCATCTGCGTCCTGTCCCACTGGCCCTTCTTCGACGTCTTCCGCAAGTTCCTCATGTTCATCTACCGCTACTCCATCTCCGGCCCCCACGTGCTGCCCCTGGAGACGTGAGCGGGGGCTGGGGGAGGCTCGGGGGTGTTTGGGGTGGAGTTGGGGGTGGGTTTAGGGCAGGGTTAGGGGTGGATTTGAGGTGGGTTTGTGCTGGAAGGGGTGTGGGGTTAAAGTGGGGTTGGGGGAGTTGTGGGGGGGAGTTGTGGGGGGATTTGGGGATGAATTTGGGGTGAATTTGGGGTGGGTTTGGGGATGAGTTTTGGGTGGGTTTTGGGGTGAGTTTGGGGCTGGGGTGACCTGTCAGGGTCTCTACCCACAGGCACATCTCCCACTTCATGCACAACGTGCCCTTCCCGTCCCCACAGCGCCCGCGGATCCTGGTCCAGGTGAGCAACCTCGGGGGGAACTGTGTGGCCCCAGTGCCCCCCAAAACATCCTAGTGCTCCCCAACCCCCCCCCGTCCCTGTGCCCCCACCCCAGCCCACCGTGTCCCACTGTCCCCACAGATGTCCCCCTATGACAGCCTCCTACTGTGCCGGCCCGTGTCGTCCCCACTGCCGCTCAGGTAGGGGCGGTTTTGGGGTCCTGGAGGGGCACACACGGGTGTGGGGGGGCCATGGGGCAGCCTGGTGACATCCCCCCTCAGTGGGGCCAGTTTCCTGACGCTGCTACAGAACCTGGGCCCCGACAATGCTGTGGCCCTGCTGGTGGCCGTGCTCACTGAGCAGAAGCTGCTCATCCACTCGCTGCGCCCCGACGTGCTGACCAGCGTGGGAGAGGCCCTGGTGGCGGTGAGTGACCATGGGGACACCCCCTGGGGCTGGGGGCTGCATACTGGGGGGCTAGGGGGCTGCAGTGCTGGGAATCCCCCATTCTGTGTGTCTGGGGACCCCCAATCCTGTGGGGCTGGGGGTCCTCGTTCTGTGGGGCTGGGGACCCACAGCCCTGGTGATCCCAATCCCATGGCACTGGAGACCCTGGTCCCACAGTTCTGGAGATCCTGGTCCCAAAGCACTGGGGACCCACAGCACTGGGATTCTGGTCCCACAGCACTGGAGACCCCAATGTTGCTGGGGATCCCGGTCCCGTGGCACTGGGGATCCTGGTCCTACAGCTCTGAGGATCCCGGTCTCGAAGCACTGGGGTCCCACAGCACTGGGATTCTGGTTCCACAGCACTGGGATCCTGGTCCCACAGCTCTGGAGACCCCAGTGGTGCTGGGGATCCTCATCCCACAGCTCTGGGGCCCCCCCCCGTGCACATGCTGGGGGCCCCGCGGCACTGACCACCCTCGTCCTGTCCCCAGATGATCTTCCCCCTGCGCTGGCAGTGCCCCTACATCCCGCTGTGCCCGCTGGCGCTGGCTGACGTGCTGTGTGCCCCCGTGCCCTTCATTGTAGGCATCCACTCCAGCTACTTCGACCTCTACGAGCCCCCCCCGCGACGTCATCTTCGTCGACCTGGACACCAACACCATCTTCCAGTGAGTGTCCCGTGCTGATCCCAGGCCGGGGGGCGGGTGGGCAGTGCCCGGGGGGGGGGGGTCTGGGGGCAGTGCCTGCCCTGCCCTCCCTGCCCTGTGCCCCCAGGAGTGAGGAGCGGAAGCTGCTGCCGCCCCGTGCGCTGCCCCGCCGGCCCTGCAAGGTGCTGCTGGCCACCCTGCACAGCCTGGCCCAGCAACTAGACGAGCGTGAGTGGGGAGCCTGGGGGGTCCTGAGGGGGTCTGGGGGGTTAGAGTTAGGGCTGGGGTCCTCCCATAAGAATGAGGGCAATTGGTTTGGAGATATCTTAGTTCCTCAAAGAATGATTCGTTGGTGTCGTTGTCCTGGCTGGGCGGACCGTAGGAGACCCCCCCTGGTGATGTTTGTCCCTAAATCCTTACCCGGAAGGTCCCAACTGCACCATGGCCAACTGGGACCATCCAAACCAGGAGGTTCCCAACCATTCCATGGCCAACTGGAACCACCCAAACCTAGAGGTTTCTGACCATGCCATGGCCAACTGGTACCACCCAAACCCTGAGATTCCCAGCAGTGCTATGGCCAACAGGAGCCAGCCAACCCATGTCCCCCAGCCCGGTTCTGGTCCCTGTGGGTGTCCCCACTGCTGACCCTGTCCCCCTTGTCTCCGCAGTGCTGAGCGCCCCGGACGAGGCACCCCCAGAGCTGGTGCTGAGCGCAGCAGAGGGTGTGGGGGCACGGCGGGCACAGCTGGAGCTGGAAGCGAGGGCGGCGTTCCTGCGCTTCATGGCCTGTGCCCTGCGCGGGTACCGCTCCTTCCTGCGCCCCATCGCCCCCGCACCCGCGCCTGCCGAGCGCGACGCCAGCAGCCTCTTCGCCCTCCAGGGTCAGTGCGGGCACGGGCTGGGGTGGGAGGGGGGTCATGCGGTGACCATCCCGTCCCCATCCAATCCTGTCCCATCCCATCCACTTCCATCTTGTCTCATCATCTCCCATCCCATCCCATCCCATCCCATCCCATCCATCCCACCCATCCATGCCTCCGGTGCTGTGTGCCTGCAGGGTTCCTGCGCTCCCGGGACCGGCAGTACCAGCGGTTCTACGGGCAGCTGCTGAAGACACAGCTCTTCACCCAATTCATCGAGGACTGTTCCTTCGCCAGTGACCGTGAGCCCTGTCTCGAGTTCTTTGACACCTGCGTCGACAAGGTGTGTCCCCTTTGTCCCCTCTGTCCCCTCTGTGTCCCACCACCCCTACCTCGAGTTCTTTGACAACTGCGTCAACAACGTGTGTCCCACTGCCCCCCCCCATGTCCCCAGTGACCCCTGTGCCCCGCCAGGTGCAGGACAAGGTGTGTCCCACTGCCCCTCCCATGTCCCCAGTGACCCCTGTGCCCCCGCAGGTGCAGGCAGACCTGGAGAAGCCGGAGGACACCCCCCTGATGGAGCTGGATGACCCCCGGGGCGGGGAGCACACGGTGTTCATCACCCCCCCAGAGCAGCCGGCGGGACCAGATGGGGCCGAGCCCCCGGCACGGTACAGGTGAGACCCTCTCCCCCAGACCCCTGCCCACCTGCCAGCCCCCAAATGCTCCTCACCTGTGCCCCCCCAGGTACGACGGGTTCCCCACCCTGTGCCCGGAGCTGCTGGAGCCCCCCCGGGACCCACTGGTGGCTCAGCTGTGCCAGGCCCGGAGCAGCGCCCCGAGCAGCCCCGCCCCTCGCAGGACCAAACAGGTGGGTGGCACACGTGGGCAGAGGGGTGTATGAGACGGGACACCTGGACAGGTATGTCTGTGTGAGATGGGACACCTGGGCAGGTGTTCACCTGTGATGACAGCTAGACAGGTGTCCCCTTGAGCTGTGACACCTGTCCAGGTGCCCCCATGAACTCTGACACCTGGACAGGTGCCCACCATGAACAGGTGTCCCTGTGAGCTGTGATCATTGCCCAGGTGCCCCCCCTGGATGTCCCACCTCCCCTGAGTCCTGTCCCTGTCCCCATGAGCTATGATCCATATCCAGGTGCCCCCATGAACTCTGACACCTGCCCAGGTGCCCCCCTGGATGTCCCAGAGTCCCCTGAGCCTTGTCCCTGTCACTGTGAGCCGTGCCCCCTCTCCAGGTGCCCCTCTGACTCTTGTCCCCTGTTCTCTTGAACTGTGACACCTGGACAGGTGCCCCTGTGGGCTGTCACTCCTGGGCAGGTCCCCACCTGGGACAGCACCTGGACAGGTGTCCCCCTGGGACAGGTGTCCCCATGATCCATCACACCTGGACAGATGTCCCCGCAATCCATGCCCCCTCTCCGGGTGCCCCCCCTGTAGTTCCTGACCCCCAGTCGCCCTGACACCGTGTCCCCGTGCCCAGGAGATGAAGGTGGCGCAGCGGGTGGCTCAGAAGTCGTCGGCGGTGCCGGAGCTGTGGGCGCGGTGCCTACTGGGCCACTGCTATGGCCTCTGGTTCCTGTACCTGCCCACCCACGTGCGCGCTGCCCCCGCCAAGCTCGGCGCCCTCCAGCTCGCCTATGACGTCCTGCGCCAGATGGAGCAGCACAAGGTGGTGCTGCCCGACGAGGTGGGTCCTGCCAGGGCCAAATCTGCACTGGAATTGTTGGGAAGGGGCTGCCCCAGGAAGGTGGGAGAGTGCCCAACCCTGGGGGTGTCCAGGGAAGGACTGGATGTGGCACTCAATGCTCTGGGCTGGGGGACAAGGTGGGGATGGGTGTCCAGAGGAGGGACACGAGAATGGGGAATGGTCTGGAGAGGCCACACAAGGAGCAACTGAGGCTTGTTCAGCTGGAGAAGAGGAGACTGGGGGGAGACCTCAGGGGGCTGCAGCTCCTCCCGAGGGGCAGCTCCCATCTCTGCTCCATGTGAGCAGCGACAGGAGCTGGAGGACTGTGCCAGGGGGAGGGTCAGGAGCTGGGGAAGGGGCTGGAGCACCAGGAGAAGGGTCTGGAGAACTCCTAAGGGAGTTGAGGGGGCTCATCCTGGAGAAAAGGAGGCTCGGGGGGACCTTCTGGCTCTCTGCAACTCCCTGACAGGAGGGGGGAGCCGGGAAGGGGTCGGGCTCTGCTCCCAGGGAACAAGGGACAGGAAGAAGGAAAACAGCCTCAAGCTGTGCCAGGGGAGGGTCAGGTTGGCCATGAGGAGGAATTTCTTGCTGGATAGGGTGGTGAGGCCTTGGAAGGGGCTGCTCAGGGAGGTGGGGAAATTCCCACCCCTGGAGGTGTCCAAGGAAGGACTGGCCGGGGCACTGAGTGCTCTGGGCTGGGGCCAAGGTGGGGATGGGGCACAGGCTGGACTCGATCTGAGGGAGTCTTTCCCACCCTCCAGTATCCCGTGGGTGGGGTTGGGGGTCCCTCCTGCCCAGGGGGGTCCCATGCTGACCCGTTTTCCTCTCCCCCAGGTGTGTTACCGCATCCTGATGCAGCTGTGTGGGCAGTACGGGGAGCCCGTGCTGTCCGTGCGTGTCCTGCTCGAGATGAAACGTGCCGGCATCGTCCCCAACACCGTCACCTACGGCTACTACAATAAGGTGACCCTGCGGGGGGACACCCCCAGGGGACGGGTGTCCGGGGGTCCCCCCAGCCCCGGCTGACCCCACTGACCACCCCCCCAGGCAGTGCTGGAGAGCAAGTGGCCGGCGGGGACGCAGGGAGGGCGGCTGCGCTGGGCCAAGCTCCGGAACGTGGTGCTGGGGGCAGCCCAGTTCCGGCAGCCCCTGCGGCAGCGGGAGCGGCAGAGCAGCAACGGGGACCCTCGGGGTAAGGAGGGAATGCAGGGGGTGTGTGGGGGGCATGTCAACTCACTGACACCCCCTTGTCACCTCCTGACAAAGGCCAAGATCCCCTGAGTAGGCAGGGAGTGGGGGTGCCACTGTCACCTCAGCGATACCCCCTTGTCTTCTCCTGGCAGGGGCTGAGCCCCCTTGAGTAGGGGGGGTCGAGGGGAGGCTTGGGGGGCCCTGTCACCCCACTGACACCCCCCTTGTCACCTCCTGACAGGGTCTGAGCCCCCCTGAGTAGGAGGGGTTGTTGGGGTGACAGGGAGCCCTGACACCCCCTTTGTCCCCCCCGTTTGTCCCCCCCAAAGTGACTGAGCCTACTCCGGTAGGAGGGGTTGTTGGGGTGATGGAGGGCCCTGTCACCCCCCTGATGCCCCCTTTGTGTCCCCTCCAGGTGACCGAGCCCCTCTCCCTCCACGCCCCCCCCCTGCAGCGTCAGACCACCTGGGCGGGGCGCAGCCTGCGGGACACCCTCCCGGCCACCCGGCTGGTGAAGAGCGGCAGCCTCAGCTTCCCCCGCAACGAGGGGGGGGTCCGGGGGGAGCCCGGGGAGCCCCCCCTGATCCCCACAGCCCCCACCCCGCCCTCGGGGCCCCCCCGGTCGCGGGGCCCCCCCAGCTCTGCCGACGGGAGCCTGTCTGACATCAGCTTCCACACGGACGAGAGCGACCCCCGGAGGGACGAGGGGGGGCCCGGGGGGGGACCCGGGGGCGGGGGCGGCACCCCGCGGCGGGGGCTGGCGGCCAAGCTGCAGCAGTTGCTGTCCCCCGGCAAACGGGCCCCCCCCCCGCCCCGCAGAGCCGCCCCGGGAGCGCCGGGGATCAGAGCCGCGGGACCACCGGGACACGCCCCCCCGGCGCAGCCCTGCGGAGCCCCCCCGGCTGCGCCCCCGGGAGCGCCCCGAGTCCACGGCGTCCGAGGTACCGCCTGTGGGGAGGGGCTGGCTGGCTGGCTGTCCCTCTGTCTGTCCCTCCCTCTGTCCCCCCCCGGGACCCCCTGACTGTGTGTCGTCCCCCCCAGAGCTCTGTGTCCAGTGAACTGGACCTGTCAGACGCCTCGGGGGGCAGCACCGGGGCCCCCAAATCCACCGAGCCCCCCCCAGATGGGACAGCAGGGATGGAGCCCCCTGCCCTGGAGGTGAGGGGTGGGGGACATGGGAGTTCGGGGAGTCAGAGCTCAGATCTGGGGGGGGGGGAGCAGAGTAAAGGCTTTAGGAGGGGTTTGGAGGACAGACCAGGGGTCTTTGGGCAGTCAGAGCTCAGCAATTTGGGGGTCAGAGCTGAGGGGTTTGGGGAGGTCAGAACAAAGGGATTTGGGAGGGTTTAGGGGGGCCAGAGCTGAGGCGTCTGGGAGGGATTTGGAGGGGCAGAGCTTAGATTTGAGGGGTCAGAGCTGAGGGTTTGGGGGACCAGAGCTCAGGTTTGGGGGGGGTCATAGCCCAGGTTTGGGGGTCCCAGGATAACAATCCCCCCCCCAGGTGCTGTTGTCGAGCTGCCTGGGCTGTGCCACACTGGTGTTTGACGAGGAGCTCAGATTTGGAAGCGTCAAGAGCTCGGGTTTAGGAGGGGTTTGGGGGGTCATAGCCCAGGTTTGGGGATCCCAGGGTAACAGACACCCCCCCGGGCAGGTGCTGCTGTCGAGCTGCTCGCGCTGCCCGGGCTGTGCCACGCTGGTGTTCGACGAGGAGCTCATGGCCGGCTGGACCTCAGATGACTCCAACCTCAACACAAGCTGCCCGTTCTGTTCCCGCTCCTTCGTGCCCTTCCTGAGCATCGAGATCTGCGACCTCCGGCGGCCCCCCAGGTGGGAACCCCCGAGAACCCCCAGGACCCCCGTCCGGGACCCCCTACATCCTCCCTGCTGGGCCCAGCCCACTGTGTCCCCCCTCGCCGTGCTCTGGGGGCACCCCAATGTCCCACAGCTTCCCAATGTCCCCACGGTGTCCCCAGGGTGTCCCTGACCCCCCTCTTTGCCCCCCACCATTCCCCCTCCTTCCATCCTCCAGGGAACCCCAAACATCCCCCAGGGCCCCCCCCATTCCTGAGCCCCCCTCCTCCTCTCTCCTGCAGCCCCCCCGATGCCCCCCTATTCCTATGACACCCCCTCTCTCCTGCAGCCCCCCCCGGGCCCCCGCCGGTGCCCCCACCTGTGCAGGGGCCAGTTCTCAGTGACCGCCGGCGCTGCCTCGCCCTGGACGGGCCCAACCCCGACCCTGCCCCCGACCCCCAATTGTGCAACGGCTGCGCCGAGACCCCAGTATGGGGGGGGAAGAGACCCCCCTGAGGGGTGATGGGGGGGGGGGGAAACCGCCGGGGAGTAATGTAGGGGGAGAGACCCCCTGAGGGGTGACAGGGGGGAGACCCCTGGGGGGTTACTGGCAAGGAGAGACCCCTGGGGGATGATGGGCGGCAGAGATTCCCCAGGGGGGTGCTGGGGGGCCTGCAGGGGAAAGGGGGACCCTGGGATTTGAGGATGTTGGAGGCATCCCTGCAGGGGCTGGGAGTGGGGGGGTTGTGGTTCTGATTTAGGGGTGCTGGGGGGGTCACTTCAGGGGGAAGGAGGACTCTGGGATTTGGGGGTATAGCGGATCCCCCATCACAGTTTCTGGGGTTCCTGGGGGGTCCCACCTCTGTCCCCCCCCCCCATCCCCAGGCCAAGGGCTGGGCAAGGGGTCCCCTATGCCAGTTTTGGGGGTCCCATCTCTGCCCCCCTGCCTTGCCCAGCCCCCAGGTCGCTCCGAGAGGGTGGCCTTTGCCTACCTGAGCCCACTGGTGCTGCGGAAGGAGCTGGAGAGCCTGATGGAGAACGAGGGGGGGGAGCTGCTGGCACAGCCTGAGCTGGTGGACAGTCACCCCATCATATACTGGAACCTGGTGTGGTACTTCCAGCGCCTGGCACTGCCCAGCAACCTGCCCCTGCTGCTGCTGGGCTCCCACCACGCCCGCCGGCACCCCCAGGTGGGCTGGGGGGGCTGCCAGGGGGGCTGGGGGGCGGGTGAGGGAGTTTGGGGGGGATGCAAGGGGCAATCTGAGGGGTTTGGGAGGGATATAAAGGGTTTGGGGGGGATGTGAGGGGGCTTGGGGGGGTTGTGGGTTTTGAGGGGGAATGTGAAGGGGTTTGGGGGGGAGCTGTGGGCCTTGGGGGGGATGTGAGGGGTTTGAGAGGGATGAGAGGGGTTTTTAGAGGGACTATGAGTGGTTTTTGGGGTGGCTCTGAGGGGTTTGAGGGGTCTCTGAGGGATTTGGGGGGCTATGAGGAGTTTGGGGAGTCTCTGAGGGTTTTTGGGGGGTCTCTGAGGAGTTTGGTGTGGCTGTGAGTGGCTTTTGGGGTGGCTCTGAGGGGTTGGGGGTGGCTCTGAGTGGTTGGGGGGGGCTCTGAGGGGTTTTGGGGGTGGCTCTGAGGGGTTTGGGGGGGTCCCAGTTCCACTCTCCCCCTCCTCCCCCCAGACCCAGTCCCCCGAGCCCCCCCGGGTCCGAGTGCGGCTCCTGTGGGACGTCCTGACCCCTGACCCTGAGAGCTGCCCCCCCCTCTACGTGCTCTGGAGGCTTCACAGTGAGGGGGGGACAGAAGGGGGTGGGAGGCACTGGGGGGCTCCAGGAGACAGGGGGGGCTCAGGAATGGGGGGCACAGGGGATGTTTGGGGTCCCCCAGAGGGTGGAGGGAGGAGGGCATTGGTGGGGGGCAAAGAGGGGGGTCAGGAACACCTTGGGGACACACCTACGGGGGCGCATCACTGGGGTCTGGGGATGCTGGGGACACAGTTTGGGGTCTCCCCAGGTAACGTCCCCTCATCACTGTGCCCCTGGGGGTCCCAGGGCCACCCCTTCTGGGGGGTGTGAGGACACTGCGGACACTCTGGGGTCACACTGAGCACACTTTGGGGTCCCCCGGGTAACATCCCTGGTGGGTTGGGGACACTGGGGACACTCTGAGGTCACTCTGGGGACACTGGGGTCACACCAGGGTCACACTGAGCACACTTTGGGGACCCTGGCTGAGCCCCTGAGGGTCCCTGTGTCCCCCATTTTCGGGGTCTGGGGACACTGGGGCTGCTCTGGGGTCACACTCTGGGGTCCCCCAGGTAACGTGCCCCCCCCGGCTGCGCCCCTGGGGCCCCCCAGCCCCCCCATTCTCACTGTCCTTCCTGGAGGCCCTGCTGACCCACGTGGGGCTCAACGAGGTGCACAAGGCCATCGGGCTCTTCCTCGAGACCCTCGCAGCCCCCGGAGCCCCCCCAGACCCTGCACAGGTACTCAGGGATGCCCTGGAACCCCCCTGAACCCCCCACTCCCCCTTCATGGCCTTTTCTGCCCCCCCCAGGAGCATCTACCGGGAGCTGCTGTTCCTGACATTGGCGGCGCTGGGCCGGGAGCACACGGATATTGGTGAGGGGTGGGGGGACAGTGGGACTGGGGGGGCTTGCAAGGATTATGGGTGGTCTGGGTAGGGGACATGAAGGGGACACATGGGGGCTTGAGAGGCTCAGGGGGCTCAGGGAGGGAGACACAGGGGGCTCAAGGGTGGCTGGGGGGGGACAGGGGGGCAGGACAAGGGGGGCTTGGGGAGCTCAGGAGGGACACAGGGGGCTTGGGGCCAGCAATGGGGGGGCTCGAGGGGCTTGGGGAGGGGGACATGAGGGACACAGGGGGCTCAGGAGTGGCCGGGGGAGGACACAGGGGGTCTGAGAGCAGCATTGGGAGGGTACACAGGGGTCCAGAGGGGAACTCCGGAGGCCCATGGGGGACTCAGGGGCAGCATTAGGGGCACTCGGGTGGGCGTTGGGGGGCCTCAGGGGTGGTGTTGGGGGACACAGGGGGCTCGGGGGGGCTCAGGGGTCCCTGTGTGTCCCTGACCCCCCCCGTGCCCCCAGGCTCATTTGACCGGCGGTACCGCTCGGCGCTGTCCCGGCTCGGGGGGTCCCTGGGGCGGGACGAGCTGCGGCGGCGCCGGGTGCAGCCCCCCAGCGCCAAGGCCTGTGACTGCAGGAGGAGCTTCGGGCCCCCCCCCCGAGTGCTGAGGGGGGGGTTACACCTCCGGTACCCCCGACGGATCCCCCTCCGGGGGGAACGGAGACTTCCAGGGCTCCCCCTGAGTGCTGGGGGTGGGGAGAGACTCCCGGGACCCCTGACGGGTCCCCCCTGAGTGCTGATGGGGGTCACACCCCCAGGCCCCCTGACAGACCACTCCAAGGGGAACAGAGTCCTCCCTGAGTGCTGGGGGGGGGGGTCACACCCCCGGGACCCCCAAAGGACCCCCTCGGGGGCGGGGGGGGAAACGGGGACCCCGGGGGGGGGGGGGGGGGGGGGAGGGGGAAGAAGGGACCCCTGGGACCCCCCAACAGAACCCGCCCGAGGAGAGGGAGATACCCCTGGGACCCTCAAATTGACCCGCCTAGAGGGAACAGACCCCCCCCCAGGCCTCCCCGAGTGATCCAAGGGGGTTGAAGGGACCCCCTCCGAGTGTTATGAAACGGCCCCCTTGGGGAACAGAACAGGGACCCCCCCGGGGACCCCCAAAGCAGCAGGGGGGGAGGAAGGAAGGCCCCCCCCCATCTTACACGGGTTTTATATATCAGTGTTAATATATTTTAATTTATTTATTCATACCCCCCAGCGCCCCTGGGGTTTGAGGGGAAGGGGTGTCAGACGGCCCGAGGGGGCTCTGGGGGCCTGTCCCCCCCCTCCCATTTCTGTCCCGCCCCCCCCTTCACCTCCGGGGAGTTTTGGGGTCGTGTTCCCCCCTCCCCAAACGTGTGACTGGATAATTGGGGGGGCTCTGGGCGTGTCCCCCCCCTTCCTCAATCCCCCGATCCCCTCTGGACCCCGCTGGGGGGGGGTTTGGTGGCCATTTGGGGGGGGTTGGGGCCGCCCCCCCCCGCACTGTGCAATAGGAGTCCCCCGCCCCCGGGGCCTGTAAATAAAAGCTGCTGCGGTATTTTCCCCGCT